ATGATTTTTTTATTTAATATTAAGATAAAATACAAAGTTAAAAAAATTCCAAAAATATATGACTCATACTGTATGTTAGCTTTTATATATTTGTAATATTACTAGTAATAAGTAATACCTTATAAATAAAAGTTTGATTAATAACTGTTCCAGTTAAAAAATAAAATAATAATAGCTTTAAAAAACCAATTGTAAAACAAGTTTTTAAGTCATTAATTATATTTAATAAAAAAATAAATGGAAATTATACTTTAATTTAACAACAATAATAATAAATATATTAAGTTAGTATTAGAAAAAAAATATTATTATGGATTATTAAAATCATAATATATTTTAGTTAATATTATAAAATATAAAAAATATTAATAGATTAACATTTTTAAATAAATATTAAACAAAATAAATAAATAAAATTAATTGTCAGTTTTTTCTACTAGTACTATATAAAATTATATTTAGTTTTGTTAAAGACAATTACTATATAACTATAGATATTGGTTTTAAACATTACAAAAATAGTTTATCAATAGATATTTTTAAAAGTATTATTTTTAACATTATAAAAACTTTTTTTAAAATATATCACAAACCCTAAAAATTTGGTTTAAATGATATAAAATAGGGTTTAAGTATTAATACGATGTTTATTTTCACAACTCTAGATCTAAGCTTATAAAATTCAGCATCTCATAACTTTTTTTTCGGCATTTTCTTTTGCAGATTGTTCTAACTCCATAATTCTAGCCATAAATCCTGCTTAATTAACCTTAAGTCTCGCATTTTAGTTATAAAATATAATTCGAGGATGCCTATTACTAAAAATTATTATTATATTTTTTCAAACATATGTGTTAATTTTTTTACTTAAAAGATTCTGGTTAAGATATAATACATACAGAATAGATACAAAGTATTTGTTTTATTAAAAATATTTAATAATTAACCAGTGTGATAAAATAAAAGTAATAGTATTAACACTTGACGTTGATGACCCAAAATGGTGTCACAACAATCGATAAAAAGAAATTTCTAAGAGGGAAATCTATTCTCAACCTCATAATTTGATTGTTTTCATCTTGTTACATAGTTATAAAAGTCCTATGTTACGTGATATTACTAAACAGATCTCATGAAAAGGTTAAATAACTTACCTGTTATCTATTGTAGAACCCATAATTACTGACGTTTGTGCATGAATGTCACTCCAAAAATTGCATTTAAAATGTAATTATCTTGACAATGCATCGGTAATAATATCAAAGTTTGTTGCTAATCCAAAATCAGCATTTGTGTAGTGACAAGGGCAAGGTAGGCTTCTGCAAGATATATTTGTTTTATTGTTCGACTAGCTTCTTGAAACATGTCATTACGATATTAATCGATTTCCCGCCTCTATAGATGTTCCAAATAAAATAGACATGTCACTCTTTTTTTTACATCATATTTTGATCTTTACTGAGAAAATCACTGGTCATCATCACGCATACATAGACACAGTAAAATAACCAACGCTAAAGTCTAGTGCAGTATCATGAAAATATTATTTAATCTAAGCGACTCCACATACTTCATCAGCGCAAAAATTTTCCTAACATTTAACTTCTAGTATCTACAATATTTGGTAGTACACTAAGAAAAAAAAAAATCAAACATGTTTATATGCAATTTTTTCATATACAAATTGATCATTTCATTGTAGAATTTATTTTATTGTTGACCATTTATAGTATTTCAAAAGTTTGCTTCCAGGAATGGTTTGTGTCGCAGAATAACGCAATACCTTTCATTATACATTAATATCATTTAGTATAAGTGTGGAAATTCTACTCATTAGATCGTTTGTTTTTTTTGCGAAGTAATTGATCTAATGAATTCCGATTTATAATGATGAGGCTTCGAAATCCTCTCAGTATGAAAAGTATTGCTGAATGGATCTGAATTCTTGTTAAGACATGATAATGCTTCAGCCTTGTGAACAATGTTTTCCTATATTCAAACTGATTAATAAAATATCATTAACAATATGCAACAAAAGTCCAGTTTCTTACCTTAAAAAAATACAATGCTTCCAATGTTTGCTTCAGAACAGTAATATTATTAATTTGATTAGGAAACCTCAATAGTGGCCCTTCAAACCCGAAATATAATCCCTCATCCAATAAGTCGACGCCAATTACTTGACCATATAAAGCTGAATAGAAAATCATTGTTAGCATAATGCAATACTTAATATAGGTGTTAAAAGCCTTACCTGCTAATTGCAAACCGAATACTGCAGAATTTTCAATTGTTTCATCGGATAGATCGTGTGAGAGATATTGATCGAGAACAAATTTGTTAGCTCGCAAACATATACTACGATCATTGATAATCTGTGCAGAATCTGTTCTACGCGCGCATTCAGAATGACTGAGTACCACATTTTTCCCTTTACTTTTTCCTCGATACATAATTTGTAAATCGATTTTTCTTCCTACTGTCATTGCTTTTGAAGCTGTTTCTCCCCTGCAAGATTTACAATCAGAATAATAATTGATAATAATTCCAGAAAAAACATGATATTTACCATTTGAGCTGAACAAGGTGTTGAACGTCTGAGAATATTATATCAATTATTGGTCCAACAACTTTGAGAGTAAATTCAATTTCCGTTAAATTTTGTTTATTCCCCTCTCTATCTACAAAAACATAGGGATCTACAAGAAACATTTCCATACTAATTATAAAAAAAAAATTAGTTTGACAGGTTTTGTGAACACAATCCATAAAGATGCATGGTTACATACATAAAAAAATAAATTTTCATGACTTGTCGATGAAAGGTTTCAGTTCTGTCTGGGCGTACCTTCAATTTTTCATACACGAAATCCCTTGCTTCCCAGTATTTATATTCATCGCAAAGCTGAATATTGAAAAAGGCTAATAAGCATCCATAATAAACATCTGATCAATAGATCATTTACATGCCTTCCCTATTTTTTTGATGTCACTTTTGATTACGTCTTCGAACATCTTTGGCTTGATATTTATCTTTGCTAGCGCCTTTGCTTTAAGATCTTGCCATTCGTCTCCAAACCATGAATACATACCACCTGAAAATTCCGAAGAGAGATCAATAATCGAAGAAAGCCCGAGCCTACATAAGTAATTACCAAATATTAGCATTTCACCAATAAAGTATATGTAAGAAATTATATACCGAATGATGCTTAAAATAGATGCATTCAATTTTTTCTTTTTTGATTGCAGTTCATTGGCTTGCTCGATAGCTTTTGACGTCATACGAATGAGAACACCTCTAACCCTTTCGCCATTCTTCAACATCCATCCTCCTTTACTGTCCCTTGATTCTGTAAATTGATCTAATGTAATTGCACTAAAATCGATAACACCATCTCCGTCTGAAGTTTCTTCATTTTTATCATCCTCAAGTTCGCTTTCAGATAGACATCCTATGAGGTGCAACTTAAAATCCTTAAAAATGTTAATAAATTATCAAGTTCAAATCAAATTTGATCCGTCTAAATAGAGATGTATACCTTATTTGGCTTATCATGTTCGAAATTTTCTGACTTTCGTTTACGAGACGGAGTAGAAGGCTTTGCTAAAGTCTTGTTAAAATTTTCGCGAATGTTATTATCCTGTTGGTATATTAATTCTCTCACTTTTACTTGTTGTTCGACATCACATAACACAATCTTCTTATTTGCAATCTTCAGTCTTTCCTCCAAAGCATTTATCTTTTCTTCCCGCTTTTTGGATGTCCAGAAATCAGTGACATTTTTTTTGTTCTGTCAGTAAAAGAGGCCCGTATTAATTGGAAGTTCATGGATGATCATTGATACAGCTCCATCATGCATACCTCTAGCAACTTTTTTATATTTTTGGCCTTTTCTTGCAGCTCTGTATCTGAGCACAACAACATGTGCTTTAAACATTTACTTAGTATATGGTGAGCGGTCGCTTTATCATTGCTCTTAAAATTATAATGCCGGAAAAATGAAATCGCAGAAGAGCATTTATTCTCCTTAAAATATGATAGGTAAGTTTCGTAGGGTTGAGTTTTCATGTTTTGATTCAGCTTTTTGTTTGATAATGATAATCAAATATTGTATGTGATTTAAATATCAACCAATCAGAATTCATTATTTTTAGTTGGCGTGTTTTAATTGATGGAAGAAAAATTATTTCGATCATAACGCAGGACTCCGTGTCTATGCAAACTGCAGGCAGTTCGTCTTTTGACCCGCTGTCCGTGGGTCCGTCCCCAGCAGATTTGCGCGTTCATGTACTGGCTAAAATAGCTTCTCGCTATACTCAGCTGATGCAGGACTCCGTGTCTATACAAACTGCAGGCAGTTCGTCTTTTGACCCGCTGTCCGTGGGTCCGCCCCAGCAGATTTGTGCGTCTTTTGAGAGCTAGCTTTCACTCAAAAAAAACGTTCAATAAGAATATGATGGAAAGTAATAATTAGGTCAAATGAGTTGATATTTCAAAGTGTCCAGTAAGATCGTTTCATCTTTATATGTACAGTATATTGCATGTATTTGGGTTTCAAAGCTGATAAAGAAAATGATTCAAAGTTTCGTTTGCATTAACTAATTTTACTTATATGCTTTTAACTTTTGTACCAACGCAATTGATTTTAGAGTTATTGTCTAAAAGAACAAGCTATTTAAGAATAAAACTTCTGGTTTTATTATTAAATCCCAAGAAAGTTTTTTAACAAAATTGTATAAATATTTTTTCTTTTCTTTTAAGATTACATAATTTTATTGCATTCAAAAACAAAATCAGTTCATCTCCTTCAAAAAACTTAAATTTTAATTAACTAAATCTTACCAATATAATATAAGACAGTATATAAAAAATACAACACATAATATCATAATACTGGAGTTGTATTTATAATGTTATCTGAAAATAAATAAGATGACGTATATTGATTATTACCAGATTAATATACAGTATATTGATTGTAGTAATCATCATTTATTTTTATTGATTTAGATAAAAATTGTTGTACATTAAATATTATATATACTATATGAACAAAAATATTGCATGTCTTAAATTTATTATTATATAAAAATGTACATAACAACTTTATTTAAAATTTTAAAATTTTATTGTTTATATTTTAAAAAAAACATGTGTATAATTTTCATGTTTTTTCAATAGGTAAACATTAAATTAAATATAAATACATTTACCTTTCTAGTATTTTTAATTTTAAAATATATTATTTAACTTAAAGTCAACATAAAAAAATTATAGGTCTCTATAAAGATAAACAATTCTATCTTAATAGAAATAATCTTGCTACTTTTTTTAAACTGAATATCCAAAACTATTGACTTTTAAAAACAAAACCATTTTAAAAAAAATTGTTAAAAAAAACAACAAAAAATCTGCAGAACAAATTAGAAACAAATTTATTGAAAAAATCAATATTGAAGTTTCTACTAAGACAATTAGAAGAAATTTGTATGAAATGAATATTTTTTCTTGCATATCATCTCAAAAACCACTTTTGATTAATCAACAAAGAGAAAATCATCTAAAATAATATATTGAAAGAAAAAATTGAACTATTAAAAAATGGAAGACTATTATATGAAGTAATGAAAGTAGATTTATAATATTTAAAAATGATAGTTCTAGTTATATTTGGAGAACTTCTGGTACAAGATATAATATTAAAAATATGATTTCAACAATAAAATTTGGAGATGGAGGAATAATGGTATAGAAATATTTTTCAGGTAAAAGATTAGATCTATTAGTAAAAGTAAGTAGTAAATTAAATATATTGGGTTATATTAAAATACTTGAAAAGCATTTATTACCTTTAATTAATAATAATTTTAATTATAGGTAATATTTGTTTCAAAATGATAATGCTTCAATTCATATTGCTAAAGATGTTCAACAATAGATTTTAGAAAATAAAATTAGAATTTTATTTAATTAATCAAATCAATTTTCTGATTTAAATTCAATTGAACATTTGTGGTCTGAATTGAAAAGAAAAATAAAAAATAGATCAGAAAATATAAAAAC